GGATATAGCTCACTAGCAGCCTCGCACCGAGGACCTAGTTGACATCATCATTTGCCCAGAATGCTTTGCGTGTAAATAAAATGGCCCCGTCCGTGTAATATATTTTTAAACTTTTAGTTTAAAAATTATTAATTAAAACCATTGTCAGTGAACACAGTCCATTGCTACATCTACAAGAGTCCACATTTCAAATTGCTTTTGTAAATCATGGACGTTGTGTGCTCCAGCCCAAAGAGGAAAAGGACAGTCCAGATTGTTGTCAGCGCAAAGTTAAATTATTATATTTACATTGTGGAGCTAAATTTAAAAATGTACTGATTTGGTTTGTGTTAAATCATTGTTTCAGGTGCTGGAGCGCTCCCAGGAGGCCATGTTGGGTGGTGCAGAGGAGGGATCAGGGGGAGGCACAGCGGGGCTTGCCCACCTGCTGCTGAATTCCTACCAGGAGAGACTCATCCAGAGCCGCCTGCAGCGGGAGCAGGAGAGAGAGGATGCTGCGCAAGAGGAGGAGGAGGACGAGGAGGAGGAAGATGATGGTGAGGGGTTAAGTTGACTGGATATTCTAAAAAAAAAAAGGAAAAGAAAACTGTTTTTGATCTGCAGTTGTGTCACTTCTGCTCTGCTCTCATCGTGTAGCTGTCAGAGTTCAGCAGAAAGAATGGGAGCCGACCACAGAAGAAAAGGCTCTGCTCAGAGAGGAGTTTATCAGCCAGATGCACCAACGCTTCTTAGATGGAAGAGACAAAGACTTTAACTACAGGTCAGCAACAACTGCACTTATTCACACTCTACATGGTAAACAACCAGCAGCTGCAGAGACGGGGTGGCATGGTTTCTGCCTTCAGCACGTCTAACAGCTGTTCTAGTTTCTATCAGTACTCATATAAGTGTTGACAATTTGTGGCTGAAAATGGCCTCAGGGAGCAGAACATTTGGACCTTTTTGACAGAAATACAACAATATACTTTTATTTAAACACTTTCATAATAATAATAATAATAATAATAATAATAATAATAATAATAATAATAATAATAGGGAAATTCAAGATTTATAACAAAAAAACATTGAAAAAATTGTCAGCAAAACTTTTTGGTGTTCATGCTCTGTGAGTGCGTACTATTTTGTTCATATGTGTGTCACTTATCTACAAGGTCACGTGTGTCAAATTCAAGGCCCGCGGGCCAAATATGGCCTGCGGGTGACTCCCATTTGACCCACCAAGGGCACTAAGTGACAATATTCTGCACACAGTAAATATTGTCTCATGTTGACTCTGAAGAATGTTTCATGTGTCACCTGGGTTATGTTAGTGCTTTAGAATAAGCTTTTGCTAAAATTTTCGGTGTCTTAGTGCTTTAGAATTAGGGGACCTAAATATATGAGTTAGTGCTTTAGGTTTAATGCGACTAATATTTAGATTAGTGCTGCCCACCACTGGTGGTAACCTGTTTCCTAATTTGAGGAACAGATTTGGTGGATCCTTCCCAGCCCACCTTTTCCCAAGATGCACTGTGGGCCAACTGAGAGAATATTTTGCATGTAATGGTGGACAATGCAAGAGAAAGGAGTACATTTTTAAAGTGAAATTTGTCTGAACAAAAATTGAAAGTTTAAAGCAGTTGTGTTGTTGGGCTTTTGTCATTTGTATAGACATGTTTTTTTTTCTTTTAATATTCTAGTCAAAAATCGAGCTCGTAATGGGCGTCCCTTAGTTTTTCACGTATTGCCTTTGTGGCCTCTTTCTTCCGACCTTCGCAGTCGACAAAGGACCCAGCTTACGTTGATCAGGTAGGCTGGGTCTTTCGAAGGACGTAGCCCCTGAATTTGGACACAACCTAGAGGTGTCCCGATGCCACTTTTTCAGTTTGGGTATGCACCGGTAGAACTTAAACATTACACAATGATTTAAAAAGCACATTTCTTTTATTTAGAGCCTGGTATTAGATGAGATATTTATCTGATGTCAAAGCGAGTACAGTCTGAACAGTCATCTCATCAGTGAGGTGGGGATTTATGGATTGATCTAAATAATAATAATGACACCAACCTCGAGTCATTCTATTCAAATCTAGTAACTCCACATATCTTCAGCTGCAGAAGTTTAGTTGCTTTGTCTTCCTCCTTTTAATTTTCCATGTCCTGGATGACTGCGCTTGTGGGTATTGTTGACGGCATAAAGCATTCACACTGCAGTCTGATGGAGGTGGCATGTCAAAGTCCACACCAAAGAATATTGATTCTGGGTATCTGCATTTTGAACGAGTACAAGTACTTTGAAAAAGGCTGGGATCGGTCATTTCAATACATTATGTGTTGGAGAGGAAGAGAGAATATAATGTGGAGAAAAATAACAAAAAGACCAAATGTTTGGAATTGTATCAAATGGAAGAAAAGCAGATAAGACTTTGCAGTAAAATTATTTTAGGGTAGTCCTTTTTTTTTTTTAGAAAAACTTTGATTCATCACTGACTGAAATGGAATTCCCCTTAAACAAAGTCAACTTTTAGAATCACATAAAGATGCAGGTGGGACTTCTTGATAGCGCTGCGCAGTATATGCAGTAGACGGTAGAAATGGTATGAAGTTGGCCTACGGTAGAAATTTATGCTCTACCGTCATATCGTCATTACATCATCGCACCTGTGTGAACAGGGCTGCGAGTGCAGAGACAACTGAGCAGGAGGAGTYTGAAATATAATGAAGAAATTCTAGTGTTTTAAAACACGTATAGAGAAAATAAATCCTCAAAATATCCTCCTCCCGCTGAAGAAAAGTTACGTCGTGTCACGGGATCATAATCTCTTCCTCTCCTCTCCTCTCGCTGCACGTCCTGCAGAGCGAAGCTTTAACAACTGTAGTTTTTCCACACCCAATTGTCGGAGAAAAAACTTGTTCTTTAAAGTATTGTTACTCACAGAGATGATTTAAAAAAAAGACGTGGACGTTCGTTCAGTCGTAAATCCATCCTGCTAATGTAACGTCGGCTTCTGTCCTGATGATGAAGATGAGCRYGCAGCAGAGCAGCAGCTGATAAATTCAGCAGGGAGAAGCTCATTGTTTGGCAGGCAGATATTAAAGCAAAAATGCTGGGTTTGATTAAGATTACAGTTATCTGCAAAAAAATGCTCTAAAAATTACATTATCTTTACTTTTTATGATAATTTTCTACCGCGATATATACAGTTACCGTGAAGGGGTTCAATTTATACCGTGATATGAATTTGAGGTCATACCGCCCAGCCCTACTTCTTGACCCATCCTACACAAACTGGAGTGCAGACTTAGAAAGAAGTCAAACAGGAAGCTGTGTGGCTCTGGGTTCACAGCAAACATAGTGCCTCAAAGAATTATTCACACCTCAAAATTGGATGAGTTTAAGGGGTATGAGACATATTTATGTCACCGCTGAAGACTCTCAGGGCTCGGTTTGTCTTTGTTAGGATTTTCTGCTAAATTTATGGATTTTTGGGCACTTTATACAGGTAAACTACTTTTATTCCTGATTTAAACTAGCGATCATGTGAGCAGCTGTGTGCTTTTATTTTTTTTTTCTGTCAGGCTGTCGGAGCGCTCCTCCTCCTCTGTCTGAGGCTGGTGTGGGGTGAAAATCCTCCACCTCAGACGTTCAGATGTAACTGTCTGTGATACTGTGGTCACTTTCCATGTAGCATCCATTATGCTAATGCTAGCTGCCTGTCACGTTCTCTCGTCCTGGCCACACCTCCGCTCTCTAACCCCCCTTCCCCTACCCACTTTGATGCATTTTTCAAATTTCGCCTTGGGGCGGAGTTATCTTTTTACAGGGGGGTAAGTTACACTTTAAGCTGAATCAGTGAAACAAAAGGTCAAGATTTTCAGAGAACAGGAAGTCGTGTTCAGGCAGGCAGAGCACAAAGTGTCAGTTTTATGAACCCTGTCCCAAACATCCTGTCGTCTTATATCTCTGGTTAAAGGTAGAAGAGTTTAAGATAATTTTTCTTCTTTGTTTGTAAAGAAATACCTGCCCTGATCTTTTGCTGGTGTAGCAGGAGAAAATGGGGAACTTGAGTAGCTTAAATACATCTGAATACTCAATCAGTGGTTTATTCAGTAGAGTACCTGTTTAGTAAAGTATAACTATTAGCCCTGATAGAGGCAGAAACTACTGAAACGACAAAATTAACTAAATTAAAATATATGTAAAACCAGCCTGCTATAGTGTTTGAAGTGTTGCTCATGTTTGTGTTACAGTGAGGTGGACAACAACCCCGACTATGACAACTTGGACATCGTCAGCAGAGACGCAGAGGATAAGTACTTCGATGAAGATGAGGAGGAGGATGACATGGAAAAAGATGAGGAGGAAGAGAACATGATGGAATAGTGTGTTATTATTAGTAACAACTCATTTTTGTTATTGTGTAAATAGCGATGTATAAAATAAAAACGTGTTGTCTATTTTTTGGAGTTTTTTGGATTTTTGCACATGACTGAACACAACCAGGAAAAAAAAAGTTTTGTACAAGTTTTCCTTTTACTGGTCAAAACTTACAGAAACTAAACCAGCTGCTAAACAATAATTTTATTATACTGTGAATCTGTTAAATAAAGCAGTAGTTGCATTTCTAGATCTTATGATTGCCTGCTGTTGAAGACTAAGGCAGGACGGTTATGTTTTTGCCTGTGTACTGTTAGCAAAGCATCTCTTGAACCAGTGGACAGTTTAATAAAACTTTAAGGACGTGATCAGTGGATGTACATCAACAATTGATTCAAGATGGTCACCTCAGTAACACAATCCTAGCAAACAAAACTGTCTTTAAGTCAGTCCAGTTTACAGTCATTGAGCTACAATTTGGAGTGGTATTGGGACAAAGTATTCAGTTTCACTATTTGAGTCAAAGTACTGATCCTACTGGCCAAAAACCCATCTGAGAAACTGCTACAATATTTGGAGTGGCAAAATCTAGAGTTTGGTACATCTTGACAAAGAAAGAACACACTGGTGAACTCATAAATGCAAAAATAATAATAATAATAAAACGCCCACAGAAGATGACGATGGTGAATGACTGCAGAATGATTTCCATGATGAAGAGAAACCCCGTCACAACAGCCAACCAATTTCTATAGGAGTAAGGAAGCCACTSTTGGACATCTGTCTGCAGTTTAGTTGTGGATGTTGAAGGCCTTCCTAAATTCTTGATCAAATAATTGTTTCAGATGTTCATTCATAGAAAAGACTTCAACATTGTTCTGAAAAAAAGAAAAAAAAACCTCATGTTAAAATCTTTACTAAAAATAAAGTGAACTTCTTAAAAAGAATACCTGGATCAGAATCTTACAGTGTGATTTAAAAAGAAAAAAATATATATATAGTCAAAAAACAAAACATAGGTCACAGAAAATTGGAATAAATCCTCAACTTTTATGAAGACAGCCTCATAAAGGTACATTTAGTAATGCTCTTTCAAAGTAAGTGTAAGTAGTGCAACTGGAATTTCATTTGAGTAGAAAATAAGAAATTACCTTCCCTTACAAAAAAGTGTGGGAGAGTTGCAGAAAAATTGTGCAGCCCCAGAGAATTTTATTCCAGGTTGTTCAACCTGTTTTGCATTTACAATGGAATATTAGGGCCAGACTATAATGTCATAATAAGAGACTGTAGTCATGGTTTCAGAGTAAAGTCATAACATCATGATAATTTAGTCAAAAACAGCAGAATAAAGTTTCAATAGTTACTGTCTGTTGAAGTACAAAACTATCAGCACTTTATCTTACCTGTTGATTACACAACTGAGAGGAACAGTGGCTGCTGTTGGGCCGAGCTGGTCATGTTAGATCTTAATAACTATCAGAGCTTTTTCTCAACAGCTTTCTTCTGGTAATATTGTGTCTAACATGTCTATATTTATGATATTTCAATTTCATTCTCATACAACTTTATTCTAGTAATATTATGACTTTATGACTCATTATTTCAATTATATTCTTGTACAACTTTATTCTTGTGGCCTTATTCTTGCAATATTATGATTATTCTTGTAATTTTAAAAAATGATATTAGTCTGGTACTAATACTCTGTCATACTGCATTAAATACAAATCAATAAACTTGCTGACTCTTTCACTGCAAGTTCACAAATCTAGACATTATGTAACAAATGACTAATTTACACTTTGAGTTCAGAAACATCACCAAAGAAGAGTTTAAAAAATGCTCCAAGCTGTATCTGAGGGGAGCGATGAGCTACAAGAGTAAAACAGGGATTTTGGTAGACAGATTCAAAGAAGCTTTCAAACCATAAAGTTTGGCCATGTGTTTTCTGTATTTAGCACATTTAGCTATTTTAGTTTTGTTGAGGAAAACAAGTAAATATATAACTGAATTATTTCTTGCCTGGTTGATTTTTGCACACTCAGTGAAAATGAACTGAACATCAGACACAAACTCGCCAACAATCTGGTACTGGTTCCTCTGGAGTCTCTTGGCTATGTTGTCCAGCCACATCGGAGTTTTAACAAAACTGGAGAAGCTTTCTATCTGTTGGAATGAAGCACAGCAGATTTTTTTCCATTAAAGAGAGCGTGGTCATTTTTTTTAGAGGGATGTTCTGACAAATAGCTTTAATTAGGGCAGAAGTTTGGGTTTTACACAAACTTTTTACAAGAAAATCCCTTCAAAGTTGATTGAACTGTCCCTTTAAATTAGATCAGTACATAAAGTAGGGATAAAAGTGACCTACGTTAAAGCTGCGGTTTGTGGAAAACTTTTGCTCTTCGTCAGCACTGCACAGATACATGAGGAGATACTGGCACTCCTGTCGATGAAGAGGAACAAGACGGGGTGAGGGACAGTGAGACAGACCCGACGGACCAAGAAAGACAGACTGATGCTGACCAACTTGTGTTGAGAAATTGGATGYGCCATGACAGCTTCAGTCTTCTGGTTGGCTTTAAAAGTGCAGAACGTGCACTTCCATTCTTTGTCATTACTACACACACAAAAGAAATATTGATTCAAACAAACTCATTTGTCAATTTTATTCTTGATCAGGTAATGTTAAGAGAACCTATTTACCCTATTCAGAATTAAAGAGTTTTGCACCCACCACCTTTGCAGTCTGAAGTTGTAAACTATGATAAAAGGACTAGATTACAACTGTCTTGGTCAAATCATGAAAACAACGTTGCACACAGTCTCTTGATTTTGTATGTCTGCTTAGTTTCCATCAACACTCACTTTAGAAGTGTGTCTTCTATATGAGGCACGTGGCATCTCTTGTGGAACGATCTTGGGCAGTAATTACACACGACCAACTTYTCCTCTCCTTCCATTTTACAACTGGAGCACTCATCATCGTTTTGCTGACGCTCCTAGCAAAACAACCAAGCCATGCCAGCAATCATTAAAGCACAGTATCATGACACCTAATTTATTAAAATCCAGATTAATGATGCAACTCATTGTAAGAAACACCAGTTTGTTGTATAACCAAAAGGAGACTTATCAAGCTTTTAAATCCTTCCTTTTTCACTTTTAAATCAATCAGTTGGGGTCTATTTAAAATGGAACCTTTTCTGTGTCTCAGATCAACTCATTTTGAGGCTGTCTCTTTAAATCCAAACGAGCCCCCCCCCCCTGATATTGAGGTTTATGATTATAAAGCAGCACAGAAACTTTTTATTTGCAAATTATTTAAAATAAGACAACAGAAGTCTTATCCATCCAGCCTTACATGTTGGAGCCAGAGTCTGACGCAGAACCAGAGGAGAACGAAGATGACTAACCCCCAATTTACATTACTTACGTTCCGTCTCCGTCTCCGCTCCGCTGCGACCTCCGCAGCAAATACGCACCCATTCTAATCAATGAGAGTGTTTACACTGGCTGCGCACGGCTAAAGCCTTTATATCGTTGTTTTTCAGCTGTGTTTGGAGTGCGTCTTTCACAGAATTAATGATTTTTTGCTGTGACTTCCACACTTATCACTGAATTTATCGCGTGATCTGCTTCCTGTACGTCTGTCGGACCGGACCGGACCGGAGATAATGTAAACTGGACTTGAAACACACAGCTGCGACCTGCGCAGCGGAGCGGAGACGGAACGCAAGTAATGTAAATTAGGGGTAAATTGTAGTTGGTAAGTCCAGATCTTATTTGGCAGTTCCATCAAAAATAATTTGACGCAARAGTTCAGAAAACATCATAGAAAATAGAGAAAACTGAACAGGTTGAAAAATATGACCCAAACAGAATATAAAGATATCTTTGCAGTAGTGCTGGGCGGTATACCGTTTTGTACCGAAAACCGGTTTTCATTTTTGTTATGATATGACTTTTCTGAATACTGGTGTAAATAGCCTGCAAACATTTCGTCACAGCCGCTGTTTACCTGGGGACACGTTTCCTCGCACCGTTAAGTGCATAGCATGCTAACGTTATTGTTGGAACAACTGGCGGCGGGTGGTGTGTTTCAGCTGCTTATATGGTCAGACGTAAAAACAAAAACCATCCCATTTTCACCATCGCTGAGTAGTAAACAACTCTTCAGTGATGTGCACAGTTAGATTTAACGCGCTACGTTATGAC